AAACAATCTATATGGTATGCCTACACGCTTGCCCCCCACATTGCATTCGCATCACACATAATAAATACGTGTGCCCCACGGTATAACAAAAACAAAAATGCTTTAATTAAAAACAAAAACATTCCAAAATCCCACACACAATAAATTGAGAGAGAAAAAAACATTGCATATGATATGACATTTAATTCAATTCCTTTGAGTCCTCCAATTCCTGTGGACCATCTAGAATTTTCGTAATTGAAACCAAAGTACCAATCTTTCTCTACTTGTTCTTACTTTTCTAAATTGGGTTCTTTTTTTTTCTGCAACTTGCCACCCTGTTCTATTCAAATTCCAGTCAGTCTTTGCTTCCTCCTATCACTTTTCTAATAACGAACAAGTAAATTGAAAAAATAAAAGCACCGAAACGTTGATAACACTGTTTTGCTATATCCGACTAATTATATACTGTCACAAGAAAAAATTATCAAATATGGCATATTATGATTAATCGAAAATAGCAAAATAATATTATTCTGACCAAAGACAACTGGCTAAGAAGCTGATTAGACGGTGCCAACAAAATCAGATTCCACGTCGACAGCCTCAGTTGTGTTTTTTTTTTTAATTTTTGGCTCTTTTCCGAGCGAATATAATTTATTGCAAAGACAAATGGTCACGCAATCAAATCCATCCAGTAAGGCTTTGAATGACAACGTGGTGACAGCCTTTACCTAGCTGTACTCTGACCCCACTGTGGGGGTCCTCATCCATTTGCATTTTATCCTTACCCATTTCTTTTTCCCTTTTAACCCCACAAACAAACTAATCAAAATCTTATGATATTATTATTGGACAATAACATGTTAACACTGTGTATTTGTAACTCTCCCTCTAAAGTGGTGGGTTTCGTTTGGGGAACAAAGTGTTGACACGGGGGGGGTTACCTAATCAGATTGAATAGTTCATAGATGGCTCTTGGAGTGGAAGAGAATGGCAAAACTATTTAACTAAACATTTCGCGAATCGATGAGGAAACTAGTAGCCAGAAAGCACTTCAATGAAAATGAAACATAAGAACACAAAATCAAAACAAATATACAAAGAGATACTTAGTTAATTAAAATATATGGCAACAAACAAGCATGAGGTTTCTAATTATCCACTAGTGATGATAGAAATTACAATATATGAGTGGACGGTATAGTTAAATATTTCCTATTTTTAGAGGTATATTATAACACATGAATGAGGTATACTACATATTTAATAACGTCTAATCCAGTGAAAAATGAACATCTTAATAGTATGTGTGAGAAAACCAGCATTCCCTTTCTAACTTTGGCAAAATACCACACTATAATACAAAGAGTCAAAGTATATAAAGCTTTGTTAATTAAATCCTAATAAGAATTAAGTGGCATCCAAGAAAAAGACGCCCTTTTTATTTTATTTTATTATTGTAGTGAAAAAGGGTAAATAATTAAACACCAAAAACATCTCACTAGAACCTCACCTGGCGACAATAGAATACAGAGAAGAAACAGAGAACATGCACTTCACAATGTACAAAGCTACAAAACAAGCCATATAAAAGAAGAAAAAAACAAGCCCTCGGAGAAAGTGAAACGTTAAAACTGGTAACATGCAAGCAAATATAACCCAACCTCCATTTTAGTCCTTCACTCAAAAAAAAGCTGTCTCCTTTTCACAATTTGACAAAATCCCATCTTCCCCACCCACCCATCCAACCATACATAAAAACCCACATACAGAGAGAGAGAGAGAGACGACAGACATTCATCTCCATTTGATCAGCAAGAAATCAACAGCTCAGCTCAACAGTAATGGATCCATGTCCATTTGTACGGCTCAATGTGGACTCTCTGGCTCTCAAGCTCCCGCACGCAACCAAACCGGCCGGTCCAGGAGTTCACTCGTCAACCACCCCCTGCTTCTGCGAGCTCAAGATCAAAAACTTCCCTTCCCAAACTGCCCTCCTCACTCTCTCCAATTCACTCAGCGACTCTTCTCCGCCTGACTTGTCCACGTCAGCTCCCGGCTTCCACGTGGACTCCACCTTGCTCCGCCGCCTCTCCGGCAAGCCCGTCACACTCCGGGTCTCCGTCTACACCGGTCGGATGGGCCGGACCTGCGGCGTCACCAGCGGGAAGTTGCTGGGCCGAGTCCACCTCAGCATTGACCTCGACTGGGCCCGGGTCCACCCGACCGTGATCCACAACGGTTGGATGAAGCTAGGGAAGGACCGCGAGAAGCCCTCCGCCAGGTTGCACTTGACTGTCCGGGCCGAGCCGGACCCCCGGTTCGTTTTCCAGTTCGGTGGTGAACCGGAGTGTAGCCCGGTGGTTTTTCAGATTCAGGGGCGGGACATACGACAGCCCGTTTTTAGCTGCAAGTTCAGTGCGGACCGTAACTCAAGATTTCGGTGAGTTTTTCTTGCTTTATGGCGCACTATAGTCGTGAATTATGCACTACAGCTAACGTGAGCTAAGAGTGCTGTTTTAACTGTAAGTAAATGTACAAGTTCTTTTGTTTTTTTTTGTCTTTTTCTGTGTCGTTTTTCATGATATGGGTTTTGAGTTACACATTTTTGGATTGGGTTAGCTAGCCGGTGTCCCACAATCACATGCCAAAGTTGGGTCAGTTTAGAATTTTACGTTTCTTTCATGCTAGAGTCTGTCTTTCTGTGCATCTTCATGTGTTTCTTTCTTTCATGGGTCATGGCTAATCAAAGTTACAAATCAGAGTAACAAAATCACTTGTGGACAATCCACTTTTCATTTCTTGCTATTGACAGCAAGGCCTTTTGTCACATGAAAAAATTAGCATCAGTCTCTATCCATAGTTTGGCTTGGTTTGGAAGATTTCACATGCAAATTTTTTGTGGGCAAGTTTAGATTCTTTTACTTGTTCAGTCCACATTTATGCCTTTTCTGATGATACATTTGTGTCTAATTTGTGAGCTGTTTTGGGTCCTCTGCATATGTCAAAGATTACTGATATAATTAAAAACCCTGCCTCCACCGACCCTGAAATATATAATTCTATGAATGATTTAGTTGTTGCTGAGAGTGGCATTTGGAAGCACAAAACCTTAAAACAGTCAGGTGGCCTGGTAATCTGACTTGGTCAAACAGACAATGCCAACTCCCCAAACTGTATCTTTGGATGGTTGGATAATTGGATTCCCTCCCATGTGCAAGTATATTTGGTCTCAATTCTTACATGTTCTGTTTTTTATTATATTCCTGTTTGACAATCCCTCTCTCTTATTTAATCTTGCCCTTAGACTACTATACAAAATAAATTATGATGATCATAATGGGGTTTTGATCTTGTGTGGAATCTGCAGATCTCTCCAATCCGATTTTACCAGCATGAATAATAGAGGATGGATGAGAACCTTTTCAGGTGATAGAGAAAGGCCAGGAAGGGAGAGAAAGGGGTGGATGATAACAATTCATGATCTATCTGGCTCACCTGTGGCAGCTGCTTCTATGATCACTCCCTTTGTACCATCCCCGGGCAGTGATCGCGTCTCCAGGTCAAACCCAGGTGCCTGGCTCATCCTCCGACCTCATGGCTTCTCCGTCAGCAGCTGGAAGCCATGGGGTCGTCTTGAGGCATGGCGCGAGAGAGGGCCTATTGATGGCTTGGGATACAAGTTTGAACTTGTTACTGACAATGGGCCTAGTAGCAGCATTACCATTGCTGAAGGTACAATGAGTGTCAAAAAGGGTGGACAATTTTGCATTGATAGTAGTTTAATGAGAGATTCTGCATTGAACTCAAGGTCACCGGTAAAAGGGTTCGTGACGGGTTCAACCGTTGAAGGCGAAGGAAAGGTTAGCAAGCCTAGTGTACAAGTTGGAGTGCAACATGTGACTTGCATGGCTGATGCTGCTCTGTTTGTAGCACTATCAGCTGCCATTGATCTTAGCATGGACGCTTGCAGACTCTTCTCACATAAACTTAGAAAGGAGCTTTGCCATGATGAGCAAAATTGCTTTTCCTAAATTAAAACTGGCTCAAAATCATAATCTTCTTTGTCATATCCTGCTGTTGCTGTGACAACCAATTAGTTTTTGCTCAGCTTGAGGCATTGTTGGTTTGAGCACTGAATATGTATATTTTTTCTTCTTCTTTGATTCCCTTCTCTCTTTTTTCCTTTCCAAAATTCTTTCATCGTGATTATTTTTTCCCCACAAATCTTGCAAGTTTTCCCCTATTTGGGAATTGTGAGTGTATCATCTGTTCTTGTTTGATTATTATATCTCATTTTGGTCTTCAAAGAGTGACGACGTTTTTGTGGTTTAGATTCTGCCAGCGGTTTGGGTTTTGTAGATACACACCTTGTGATGGGGAATTTCTCTTATTAGTACAGTATTGTTCTATCATACTTGTACAACAAACTTACCAATTGCAACCTTGAGGCATGACTTGGCTAAGGCGTGTGCCCGCCGTTTACACCCGAATTCATCTTCTATGTACATGAGAGTAGTTTAAAATATCGCTTTGTCCAAAAAAAAAAAGAGAAGACCGGATCAGGTTAAGGTCAAAGAAACCCTTGTTAGTGTTTGATTAATAACATAACTCCGGGATATATTCACATGTTGAGCTAAATTTGGGTAACTAGATGAGCATATTTTATCCTGATCAAGTTTAGGTCAAGCGTCAGGTCCAAATTAAAAGCTTCGTGTTAATCTTATAATTAGCACAACTTACATCTCTAGTGATAAAACACTTATCCTAACTAGGTATATATATAACTTTGATTATAACCCTTACATCCTCTTAGTGAAACTAGTTTTTGTTTGTCTTTTAAAAAAAGAAAAACTATTATCGAATTCCGAGTTTAAAAAAAATCCGTGGATATGATTTATTTTCTAAATTTAATTTAAGAGCAAATTTTAGTTTTATTTTTATTTTCGAAATTATAATTATTTTAATAAAATAATTAAAAAAATTACTTTAAAAAGTTTCGTTTCAGAGAAACACAAAACAAAAGAAGAAAAAATAAAAGTTTATCGGTAACAAAACTCTCCCTCCATTTCGACCCTTCACCTCTGAAAGACCGAAACCAGAAAGCTCTTTCCGTTCTCCGCAAAGACCTTTCTGGGTTTTCCGTCAACAAAATCAATGGCCTCCTCCGTCCACCACCTCCTCCTCATCATCAACCTCCTCATAATCCCAACCACATTATTATCCCAATCCATCATCCAAATGCCTCCGAGACGACACCGCATCACGGACGACAACCTCTACTGCGACAGCTGGCGATTCTCCGTCGAGACCAACGACGCCGGAACCTGGACCAGCATTCCGTCTCGGTGCGTCGCCTTCGTCCAGGACTACATGACCGGCGACCGGTACCTGTCCGACTCGGCAGCCGTCGCGAATTACTCGCTGAGCTTCGCTCGGGGGGTTCAGATCGGAAGAGATGGTAAGGACGCTTGGGTCTTCGACATCGATGAGACTCTGCTCTCCAATTTGCCCTACTATCAGGCGCATGGATTCGGGTATGCTTGATTGGTTTACAGCCGTTTGATTTGTGGAATTTCCTTATCTCGGCGTTTTTTACTTTTCTTGATTTGTTGGATTATTACCGCGAAATGAATTGTTGTGGGGTTAGGAACGCTTTGCCTTGCTGTGGTAGGTGGTGCAATATACATGTGATTGATTGGTCATTGGCAGGTGGGTTAGCCAATGAGAGGTTGTAGTTAGGTCACTGTATTGTAATGCGTGCTAGGGTACAAGCCCCCCCTGGAAAAGCAGAAAAGTGTAATTCCTTTTCTCTTTTGGAGCAAACAGGGTGCTGCATTGCATTCAGCTATAGTCCAATTTTGATGTGGCAAAATGGTGAAAATGAATGCATGAAATTGCATGCATATTGAATTTAGAAATGTTAGTCATGCATAACATAATCATGCAACAGCTTGTGTTTAAACAGGGCATTAAGCATTAAATCTTGTTTAAGAGTCTCATAGGTAGTATTTTAGTTTCTTTAAGCATGCATCATTTGTAGCCTCCTCTTTTATTGGTCATTTGGTTTGCAATGCTTGTAAAAGATGATGCTGCAAATACCCTTTTGGTTTGTGCTAAACATGTATCTTTTTTGAGGTAGCATTTATGATAATGAAAAATGAAGGCCTAAAGGGGAAGAAACAACTGTTGCATCTTAGAATGCAATTTTGTTGGGGGAATTTCAACTTCTATTATGTGCCAATGTTGAGAAGCAAGTCAGGACAGCTCTTCACCCAGAAAACTTATCATGTGAAATATGTTTGCACTTATGCTGTAGTTTCCATGTTTTTGAGAAAAACTAGGGTTGCAAAAACTAGCACATTGTTCATTGCCTTCAAGTCCCCAACCTCAATCTCAGCAATGGGAGTTCCACTGAAAATTCTGGATTTAGTTCATATTGTTCGATTTCCCAGCAGATATTTTTAGCTGGTTTTATGTACCTTTAACAAGAGTGAGTTACACAGAGGATTATTAGACTACATCAATGCTTTTAGCCTTCTTAATTGATTAAGTTTTTCAATGATATCAAGAAATTGACTAGACTGGGTCTATATTCTTATGGACATAGATCAGTGACCTTCGATGAAGCATCTTTTGATGAGTGGGTGGATTTGGCTGAGGCCCCTGCTCTCCCAGCTAGTTTGAAATTATACAAGGAGCTTAAGAAATTGGGTTTCAAGATTTTTCTGTTAACTGGGCGGAGTGAACATCAGAGAAATGCCACAGCGAAAAACCTTCTATATGCAGGTTACAACAATTGGGAGAGGCTGCTACTGAGGTACATGGGCTAAGTTTCTTCCTTTTTCTTTGTTCCTTTTTCAAACTATGAGGCAAAATACACATGGTATGAAGAAATGAATTACAGTACAAGGATTGCTGATGATTTTTATTAAATGATACAGAGGACCTTCTGATCAAGGAACAACGGCCACTGTCTACAAATCCGAGAAGAGATCAGATTTGATAAACGAAGGTTATCGAATTCACGGGAGCTCGGGAGATCAATGGAGTGATTTGTTGGGTTTTGCAGTGGCCCAACGATCCTTTAAACTTCCAAATCCAATGTATTACATTGCCTAGCAAAATTGTGTGTAACATAATCACGTTGTTGTATTATTTTACCCCTTATGTTCAGTGGCCGCCATGATATTCATAATTGGTTGCCAATGCCATTAGTTCCTTTGGTTAATTTCCAGCTGGAGAGACGCCTTGTATTTGTGTTCATCTTTTCAAGTGGTAGCAATCTTTTTCAGCAATGACCGATAAAGATGATTTTAACTAGTTATTTAGTTTGGCTGCGATGATGAAGACGAAAGCTATTAAATTAGAGCATTGTTAATAGATGTCACGTGACACAAGCTGATAAAAATATAGGCTCAAAAGATCACAACATAATATATTCCATAAGAATGTCACATGACAAGAAGGGTAAAACCATTTTTATAATATAGGCTAATTTTTGCTCATGATTCTTCTTCTTAAGTTCTACCGCTGGAATTGAATGCTAATCATAAACATTTTCTGGACAGACTTTATCCATTGGAGTCTCTGAGACTGATATTATTATTATTTTTTCAGATGCAGAGAGTTAAATAAAGAAATAAAATTGAGATTCAGGGAAGGTCAAATCATAATTGCTATTAATTAATAGATAAGCCATTTTCACCAAACCTGTTGTACAAAGACTGAGCTTGGCTAGAGAGACCCGCAAACAAGAGGCTTTGAACCAGGGATTCTCAGACAATTCAACCCACCTCCTGGAATTAAGGAGCACTCTGGCTGAGGTCTCTGCATATTCCTCCCAGGAATGCAATTCAATGAAAAATCAAACCCCACATTTCTGTAGAACAATTTGGCACATTCCTGGCTGAACCCAGAAAAGAAATTGTAAGCAACAGTCAAATTCACAAGGCTTTTCAAAGAACACACCATCTCTGGAAGAACCCCAGATAGCTTGTTGTGTCCCAAGTTGAGAACTTCAATGTCTTGCAGACATGAGATTGTGTCTGGCAGATGGCCCATCAGTGAATTGAAGCTGACATCAAAAACTTGAATGTCTGTGAAGAGCCCAACTCCCTCAGGAATGCAACCTGTTAACTGGTTGTTGAGAAACAAAATCTCCTTCAGTTTAGTGCTCATGAAGCCAAAACTAGCTGGGAAGTTCCCACTGAACTTGTTGTTAGCTAAATTGATCACAGAAGCTTGGGAGTTCCCCAAACTTTCAGGAAGTCCACCTGCAAATTGGTTGTTGTTGAGAAAGATTGCATCTAGTCTCCTATTGAAGAGATCTTCAGGAATGGGCCCCGAAAAGCTGTTGAATCTGAGGTCTAAGTAAATGAGGTTTGGAATGTATAATGTGACTGTAGGGAAAGAGCCTGAGAAATGGTTGTTGCTGAGGTCCAGCTCTTGGAGTGAAGTGAGGTCCTTGAAAGTGTCAGGAATTGTGCCTGAAAATCTGTTGCTGTTGAGGTGAAGGAGAGACATTTCAGTGAGAAAGGAGAGTTCTTTGACAAGAGTGCCTTTGAGATTGGCATGGTTGAGATCTATACCAGCAACAACAGGGCCAGAGGCTGCAGAAACTTCATATTGAGAATCTGCACAAAAGACCCCTTTGTAAGAACACACATCAGAGCCAACCCAAGTGTCTAAAATTTTTGATGGGTCTTCAGAGATGGCTGATTTCCATGCCTGGAGAGCAGTGTAAGCTCTGTCAAGCCCTGAAGCTGAAGATCCAGATGGGACATTTGGGCCATTTCCATTGATACCTCCACCAATCCAAACTCCACCACCGCCACCACCACCAACAGGGCCAACATTAACACCAACACCACCGCCCACCCCAAATCCAGCTTCTATAGGAATTACACTCAGTAGGAGAAGAGCTAGAAGCCACCACTTCTCCATTTTCAGTAGAAAAACACTAAAATATGCTTGTTTGATAGGTTTTTTCTTTTTGGACGAAAGCTTGTTTGATAGGTTTACTTGTAAAGTTGTCCAAGTATAGTTGCAGCATTGAAGAGAGAGAGAGAGAGAGAGAGAGAGAGAGAGAGAGTAGGAACTGGTGGGTTTGTAATTTGGGCTTGAATGCTAGCTTTATTTATAATTCTGGTTTGTAATTTGGGCTTGAATGCTAGCTTTATTTATAATTCTTTTTTTGTTTTGTTTTTGGTTATTACTTTTCTCTGTACTCATGTTGACTTGTGAGTGATGCAGTGCTGTTCATGGTGATAGAACAAGTTTGTCAGTAGGTTGGTCAATTAGTAAACTCACACAAATAAATGAACTGGGTAAAATTAGTGGCCATGAACTCATTATCAATCACACACTGTAGCTTGATCTTAGTCATTCTTACTTAGCACAAAGTTCAGCCAAAAAAGAAAGAAAAAGTCTTTAAAACTTATAATTCAGATAATATTAGCATTTATCTTTGTACCTTCTCCTTTGTACATGAGTATGAATATCCCTCCGACAATGGCATCTGAAACACTAAATTTTGGGCTACCCCTACCCATTGGCCTAAAAATAACTTTCTTGTAATGGAAATAACACTATTTTGCTATTTGCGCCCAATAACACAATGATACGTGGAAAAGTTATCTCACACCTAGTAAAATTAATATTTATTAATAATTTATGCATAATGGAACTAAATAACATGTTAATAATTCTGCAAAATACTGAAATTTACAGCTTCTTGTTCTTCTGCAGTACTGCAGGCAAAAATATAGAACATGGCAGTGTCTGTATGGCACTGAATATGAATATCCATCATTTGAAAAGAAGAACTTGAGGGTGTGAATATGAATCAAAAAGCAAAGCGCATGCTATTTTGATCCCTGTATTGGATGGCAGCTAGCTCCCCATGCCATTAAAGTGGAATTCCTACAAAATAGTTGTATTTGTAAAAAAGCTTGGCCACAAGAATTTCAATACCATTCTCTCTAATCATTTGTGATAACCAACAAAAAGAAAATAAAAAAATGCAGGATCCGGGCAGCATGTGGGTATTAGGTAAGAATTTAAGATTTTGTTTGACAATAGATAATATCATATTAGGCTCCCTATGCATTTTTTTAGAAAGATAAAGGATGTTGGCAATGCATAACTATTTGTGGGAAGCAATATGGATACACATTATATGTAGCACAAAATTGGCAAACCAAAAACTCACCTGTATTTCATGTGCTTTTGCTCAGTTGGTGTGGGAATTAATATCAACTCCTCTATTTGCCCTAGATGCATCTTAGACTTAATTCATTACATTTATGGACTGGAAACAAACTTAGGCAACTAACAATATTATATGAGGTAGTTGAGTCATTATATAGCGAGGTCTTATACATGGCCTTTAGGTGAGGTCCTATGTCTTAACCGTTGGATTAGGCTAATCAATTTGATCCAACGGCTAATCTAACGGTAAAGAAATAGGGCCTCAGTTATACACTGAGGGTAAGGCTCTTAGATGAGGTTCTATCTCTTAGCCATTGGATCAAATTAATTAGCCATTGGATGACATTGGATAGTTTAATCCAACAATTAAAAGATAGACCCTCATCTAAGGGCCTTCGATAATGCCGTCACTATAAAACGACTCATTATATCAGCTAGTCTTTTAAAGTTTCATTAGATAGAAATTGGGTTTCTTGGGTTGGACCTTTTAGAGGAGTTTCGGGATGAAAAACATGAACCAAAGCAGACTACATTTAATGGGCCAACAATGGTGCTAGTTTGAACTGGGCTTATGCAAAATGGGTAGGCCTATGCATACAGAACAATCTAGAATTACTAATTACATATTTTTGGCTTCTATTCTAACTAATCAAAGTCTTGACCAGCAGCAATCAGTCCAATCCAAACTCCAATCACTCAATCAATCAGTGTGCTAGTGGTTAAGCATAGTTTTGAAGATAGGGAACAACCAGATGGCAACTGTTACCCACTTAAAATATTCATCTAACCAATTAAATCCAAAAGGATTATGTTCCATGGGGACACATCAAGCCAGAATCATCCAACAAGTACATATTTGTCACTATCATTCATTACAAAACGAAATTGAACTCAGCAACATTTCTGCTCTTCAAGATTTTTTCAAATTCCATCTTCTTCTTCTAGTTTCACTTTTGAATTGCTGTTTCTGGTTCAAGTGAAAGAAAGAAAAATTCATGTGACACCTCCTCTGCAAATTCCAAACTATCATTTTGATCCTCATGAGGAATGTGGGCCCACTGCACAGGGTATCCAAAAAAAAACACCCCAGCTACCCTTCATGCAAGTTTGAAGCTTCACCTTACAAGGTTGCTGTACTTTCCCACTTTGGAAATATTCACAAGCATATACTTGCATGGATTTGTTTTTTTTATTTTTTATTTTATCTCCCTCCTTTTTTCAAAGAAATAGCTTTTATATAATTAGTTTCTTAATAATTTTATTGGTCATGCTGTATTTTAGCTTTTGAAGACTTTTTTTTTACTAAATCTAATTATTTACTAATACTATCCAAAGGGCTCTTAAACCTGTCTTTTTCTTTATTATCTAACCGCTTTAGGACTTTTGACTCACCATGAAAAAAGATCCACCAGTCACCCTTGACCTTTGGGGCATTGCCGTAATAAAACCCAACTCCAGAGGCCAAATATAAACATCAACTTCTTCACCTAGATTGACTATTTACAATGTCGATTTCAGTTGCCAACATTATTCGCATACTATATCCAATTCCTTGGCATCTAAGTTAACAGTACACACTCTCTGTCTTCAGTCCCCAAATTTAGAAACCCACCTCTTCAATTTCTCTAATTTCCGTTTTTAGACCCCTAAAAAATCCTTCTTTTACCTTCCAGATCGGTCCCAATTCGATGATTTATTTCAAATCTGCTCCGTGATCCCCAAAGTATGTAACTTTGTAATTTAATTTTGGAAAGTTCTGCAATTTGCGATATTAGGGATTCGGAATCTTTTCTTACCCTTTTGTTTGTCATCTTTAAAATCGGATCTTGTGTTAGGGGTTTTTTCGGTGCGTGTCTGTCTGTGCGTTATGAAGATCGAGGAATTGGAGGAGGCGGAGTGTGATCGGAACGACGGCGTTTCCGGGAGGCAGATAGTTAGGGTTGATGACGCCAAGAGAGCGCTAGTCGGAGCCGGGGCTCGGATCCTTTTCTACCCGACCCTGTTATATAATGTGCTTCGGAACAAGATCGAAGCTGAGTTCAGATG